GGGGTGGCGGCGGTGTGTGTGTGAAGGACCTTCTTGGCCCTCAAATCAGCACCCACGTAGTCTCTATAAAAGCAAAGACACATGTGAACTCCCAGAGGTCCTGTAACTCCAGGTGCAACTCATAGGACCCTTAGACTTTTCTGGAGGGCCAATTTGTACCAATCTAGAAAGTTCTCATGAACACTAGATGGCATCTGGTTTTCTGGGACCCCCTAAAGACTAACTTGAGACTCTTGGTATTGGTAATATGAGAAATCTGACCCTGGAACTCACTCAGGTGGTTCTTTGGAGCCATAACATCTTCTTGGGACCCAATGCCAGGTCTGGATTCCTTGATCTGAGGCATCATTCCAGGATCCTGGAGGGGAGTTGTGGGATTCTGGTAGCATAGTATCCATGCATGTCTGCACCATGCTATTGTGGGTACTCATACTGAGTGGACGAGTAGCAGACCACTAAGCACCCCTTACGGGGTTCTCACTCCTAAGCTCCCAATATTTCTGCATTGAAGTTACTCATTTCAGAACACTTTCAATGGTCTAGAATGTGACACTATTGGGTTCTTGTCTCTTGGAATGTTCCTGACTTCCCTAAATAGTTACTCATCATGTCTGCTGTTCAGCTCACAGAAGAGTATTGAAGAATCTGGAAGACGGAAAGCTTTCAGCATGAAATTAACATAACACTGTCTCATTCATTCACTTATTCATTAATTCATGAATTAAACAAAGATATACTGACTCTTTGGCTCCTATGTGAAATCAGACATTGAACTGAGAATTTGGTGGTGAAATATAGATATATTTTCAGTTATTATGGAGTTCAGGGTCCAATGGAGGCAGACCGGCCTTAAATGTATTAGTCTGCTAGGACTATTGTAACAAAATACTGCTAGCCTTGCTAAAGAGAAATAGCAAGCCCCAGATGGAGTCATTTGCCCCAACAACACAGCAAACCAAGACTTTATTGCAGTTTCCACTTTTCCTAGAAATGGAATCTTTAAGTAGACAATTCTAAATTTCCTGATCAGCGCTTCAGTTCAGTTCAGTTCAGTTCAGTCGCTCAGTCGTGTCTGACTCTTTGTGACCCCATGAATCGCAGCATGCCAGGCCTCCCTGTCTATCACCAACTCCCGGAGTTTACTCAAACTCAAGTCCATCGAGTCGGTGATGCCATCCAACCATCTCATCCTCTGTCGTCCCCTTCTCCTCCTGCCCCCAATCCCTCCCAGCATCAGGGTCTTTTCCAGTGAGTCAACACTTCGCATGAGGTGGCCAAAGTACTGGAGTTTTAGGTTCAGCATAAGTCCTTCCAATGAACACCCAGGACTGATCTCCTTTAGGATGGACTGGCTGGATCTCCTTGCAGCCCAAGGGACTCTCAAGAGTCTTCTCCAACACCACAATTCAAAAGCATCAATTTTTCGGCACTCAGCTTTCTTCACAGTCCAACTCTCACATCCATACATGACCACTAGAAAAACCATAGGCTTGATCAGTGCTTAGTGAGGTAATTTGCATAGTAAGAACTCTGCCATTCCCTTTCCCCCAAAATGATGACCTGGCCTGAAACAATTTTTTTCTTATCTTTTGCTAATAACATCCTCGCCCACCCTCCTCTGTCTATAAAAACCTTTCATTTTGTACAGCCCCTCAGAGAGCTTCTATTTATTGGACCAGATGCTCCTTGATTCTTGAATCTTTGAACAAAGCCAATTAGACCTTCAAATCTACTCTGTCAACTTTTTCTTTTTTAACAAATTGGTGGCAGCAGTAGGATCCAGATGAACTTTTTTTTTTTTCTTTTTTTCCATTTATTTGTATTAGTTGGAGGCTAATTACTTTACANCAAGTGCTTATATAAACTAAGAGTTGGGTATTCCACAACTCTCAGAATATAGAGACTAACCCAAATGTTCTTTTTAAGTCCATGTGATCTAAGATTAATCTTTCATAAATAAAATCTAGTTAAAGTTTGTTGGTTTAATTAAAACAGACAGGTCTTTAGAGTTATCAGCATTAAATATTAACACTTTTAATTCTACATTTGTTTACAAATTCACCAGTAAGAAAAATAGATATGATGAAGTTCAGATAGTACAAAACACTTTTGGGACCAAATGATTTAGTTTGGGAAAAGAGTTTATAAACATTTTATCAACTATATTTTCTGGCATATGTACTTAAAACTGGCTTCTAAAATATTTTATTAAACTGGAACCTTAGAGTTTTGGTAAATTAAGGTTAATGATAATTCATTGAATAGAGTATTTCAAAAATAGTAAAATATTATTTATTGAACATAAGCTTATCTATTTTTGGCTTATTTTTAGAGAAACTAAAGGTAAATTTGGTTCTGTTAGAAAACATGTCTTTTTATCACAGTGAAAGATTATATTGTGAAGAAGCATGTTTCTAGAAATAATGAAATGTATTCACAAATTTGTCAATCTAAAGAATGCTGGTATAAGAGATAGTCTGCAATTGTTTACATCCTAAATTTTCATTAGAAATTAAGGGTTTAGAATAGTAATGTTCTTAAAGCTACTGAAAATAAAAAAAGCAAGGCATCTCCATATGCCAGGAAAGTAGATTGTGTTTTTGGCTAAGAAAAGGAATGAGGATTGAAGATGCATTTTTGTCAAGAGGAAGTGAGAGTAACTTTGTCTAAACTAGAATATCTGTTTATTTCAGAAAGAAAGGGAAGAAAATGAAGGACAGAGTAAATATATACAGAAAGAAAGAGAAAAAAAGTATTGCACCTCATGTAATCAAACTGATTAAAATCCAATTTTTACTATAAGGGTTTTAAAATTTAAAGTTTAACATCATAGTATATTTATGTTAAAGTAGAACTTAAATTTACTTTCATCTGTTAACTAAATAATTAAGAATTGTTTTATATTGATCCATAATCTTATTTAGTCAAGTGTCCAACCTTTGGGTATTTCTGACAAACTTTCTAAAATCAAGTTCCAAAAATGAAGTTTTTCTGATCTAGAAAAAACTTTGGGATTTTTCCACAGGGCCCCTGGAACATCCCAAAATATTTGTTAAACTAGTTAGGCTTTCTTCATATATTAAATTACATGAGAAGCATTGCCAAATAAGAAGTAACATTAAGGTATTTTTTCTTAATGTTGTGTCTTCAGAGGTAGATGTTGTAAGTGTTCCAGAAATTATGTAAAATGCCTGGAAGTCTAATGCGCCCTGGTATAAAATGTCATCTGTCATCAAAATTGAGGCTTGCACTAAAGGGACTGAACATGAGTATCATGGAAATTCCCTGGCTGACTTTCATGCAAGGGCAGCAGCAATAGAATCTATAGAGATAGTGGCACTTGTGGGTGAAGCCCATTCTGCTTCTGCAGAAAATGACCCCTCATTGCCTGACTTCTGACATTCTGATGTCCTTGTAACATGGCAACAGTCTGCTCCTGA